GTCTGATTGTAGGCTATTATAAATAAATAGATCAAAAATAACAAAATTCTGAGCTACGTGCCAACAAAAAATACAAATACACAAAAAATAAAACAACACATAAAACAAAAAATAATAATAAAGAGGGGTCTTTCCCTGCTAACTAAGGGATAGCAATCTTACAATCCATTTCCATTATCAATCAACACCTGTGGATCACCAAATTAATAACCGCATCGCTAGGCCCAATGTAAACACACGAGCCCTGTTAAATTAAGTCAAAAATAGTAGAGGGGGCCACGCTGGGCAGACAGTAAAATCTAATGAGTTAGTCTTTGAGTGAGTTTATAAAGTCTCCGACCTCCTCTTAGGTGTTGAATCTCTTCTTTAAACCGTTGTGTGATATCTGAAGAATAGCTGGGTAAAGCAAAACGTAGGAAATCCCTCGCTCCTTCAGCCGACGTTTCACCACATCAAACGCTTTGCGCTTCTTGATGACAGATGAGGAGAAGTCGTTGTAGAAAGAAATCCATCAAAGACCAATGCGCCATCACCGCCAACACGACGTACAGCCTCCATCACGAGTTGTTTATCCTGAAATGAGTGGAAACGTACCAGCAGAGGTCGAGGTGGTCTGTTGTGGTCCGGTAAAGGGGCTAAAAGCAAGGTGTGCTCTTTCCAGCTTGATAGATTTGTATTCAGCAGGAAGCTGAAGTAATTGCATGTGACTAAATAGAGCTAATCAAGCCTATTGTTAGGGGATAGCCCTCTTTTGCATGTGACTAAATAGAGCTAATCAAGCCTATTGTTAGGCAGTGGCCCTCTTTTGCATATGACCAACCTGTTTGTCCATGTGGAGGCAGTGATTATAAGGCTGCGTTCACCTGAAACTCTCAGACTGAAGAAGTCTCTTGGAGGAGACACGAAACGTTTCACTGAAGAAGAACCCATCCAGAGGACCTACTTATTTTTTCTGTTTGATCTTTTTATAATGCGGTTATTTCTGCTTGAACTGATGATTTATGTGCAGACTGGGTTGTGGGGCTCTTGATAAGGGTTTCACAGACTCACAAAAAAAGAACCGTGATCGAACATTAGTGTGAAGAAGGAACGTGTGACATCTTGGCTCTGTGTAGACATAGCCTGGCCCTTTCTGACACTGTCATGAGGCGGGGTCAGGACGTGAAGATGATTGTAAATCAGTGTATATTTTCTGGTTCTGGACTGAAATGCTGAGGTTTGCAGAATAAAACCGCTGATCAGGCCACAGCTGTGTTGATGGGTGGTTGAATGACTCTTTTCACATTCAGTCAACTATTGGTGCATTGTCTATTTGGTTCCAAACACATATTAAGGTAAAGGAACACGCCTAAATTATCTATTATCTTTCACACATAATATTACCTCTTTAACTGTTTGTTGGTTTATTTTCAGTGAAGAGAATGAATCCTGCTGTCTGCTGTTCCCTCAGTTCCACCTTTTTAACAGCAGGTGTTGCTACAGAGGTTATATTAGAGGCAGCATTAAGTCTGAACTGTTTCACATGAATCCAGATGTTTTCACTGAAACATTGTTTAATAACGGTGCAGCTGCTGTCCTGTGAATTTCTTTACATCTTAGACAAATAAACTGATGTTTCTGTTATTTTACAAACCAATATGTGAAAACAGTTACTCTACTTTGTGCAAGTTATTGAAACTTATAATAAACTGATTGATGAGCCGGAGGAGAAAAGCTGCTCCTGTGTGACCATCTGAACGGAGGTCAAACTGGTTCTTTTGTCTTTTTTTTTTTTGTTATAACTGTACTGAGAATTTAGTTTTCTTCTCAGAAATGTTTGTTTTGTTTTTGCCACAGTCTGTGTGGAGGACACACAAAGACTCTACAATAAAAAGGTTTTCATGTTCTGGATTAAGAGTTTGAACTCTGAGCCAACAGCTCTGGTGCACTTTGTTTTTTATTCCTTTAATCTTCTGTTAACTTCAGATCATTTTAATTTTTTTTTCTTATTTTAGAAATATGGGCCGGGCCTTGGCTATCTGCTCCTCTCCACCTCAGAATGATTGGGTCTACCTCCTGGGTTTGAGTGTGTGCTGCCTCCAATTGGGGGTGGGTGCATGTCCTGGACATGGGGGGTATAGAGTGTGTATCGGGGGGTATGAGTGGAATGTGGCGTCCTTGTATGTCTTTGA